ACATGGAGACAATACAACCATTTGGAAAACGTCCAGCTCATCTGGTGGGAATCTATGAACAAATCTTTCAGCCTGTGCGTGAGCTATTAAGTAGCTTGAAGTTTGCAATAGAACTGATGAACAAGGCACAACAGTTTAATTTTACCAGCGGATGCAAGAAAACACTTTTGCAGATGGAGTTTTGTTCATTGTGCCAAGGTTTTGACAAAGTTATGCCATGTTACAGTTATTGTAAAGAAGGACTAAGGAGGTGCTTGTCGTCTGAAATTCTATTACAGACAAAGTGGGGCAAGTTCATTGAAAATGTTTATTTGCTTTCTGAAAGTATAGCAAATTCCAATCTGGAGAACTTGTCAAATACAATGTACAAGGATTTGTGGGATGCAGCAATGTTAGTGTTGATCCAGAAGCATAGTGTCATGAAACAGGTAATGTCCTGAGTTTAGAAATGAAACTGGGCAAAGTTAACTTTCATCAAGACATCTGGGACTGTCCCTGGGGACAGGGGAAAGAATTGACCAATAGCTGACCGGCGTGTCCTAGTAATGATTGCCGAATTCTTTGCAAAAGCTAACTTGAGTCAGTCTCTTCGATTTTGAAGTGGTAAATAGAATCAATATCATGCCAGTCTTTTACAAGACTACCCCCAGTATTGCTAAGTTTTCTGTTTCTTGAAACAACAGTGAGATTTGCTACTCGACTACCCTCCCATCCTTGCTCAAATGTTAGATGTTAAAGACATCAATGTGTACTACCCTGATCTCTTTTTTTCTTTTTGTGTTTTGATCGTGAACCATTTTTTTACTCCTTGTTTATGTATTCAAAATTAATGTACTTTCAACGGATTGTGTTTGTTTCTAGTTTTGCATGGGATAGACATCATTACTAAGTTTAACTTTTGTTTCATATACACAGGTGTTAGACAAGTGTGGCACTCCACAATACATCAACACTCCACATTCTAAAACTTCTCTCTATACAAAGTCCGTTGCATCAACTCCTCATGTAAAGATACGTCTGTTCTCCAAGATGGATTCAGCTAAATTGAAAGTGTTGGCGCAAAAGTCTTTTTATGAAGGCCTACCTGAGGAGCTGTGTGTAGTTGAGGAGCTTTCTGCCAGGCAAGAAGACTCTGAAGACTGTTGGAATGGCAAATCTATTGGAAGGTGAATACTAGTAGTAGTTGTAGTTGTTGTTAGGTCTTAAAGGGTGAACTGGCCATCCTCATACAGGCGTTTTTATCAAGAATTGCAGTAGTAGGAGAATTATAGTGTAAAGTAACAGGAGAATATTTTGAAAGAGCAAAGAACTTTCCCAGACAGAGCTTGAAAACAAGCCTGGAAATTTTGCATTTTAAACCCTACTGAGTCTGATAGCAAGTTCTATTTCTCGTAGCTGCCAAACAAAAAACACTGCATACTTTTACACGTTTTAGAAGTCATTGTTAAAATAGAACAATCTCAAAATTTGCATTTGTTAAATATAGTAATTTGATACTCTCTCATTTATACGTGGTGAATATCGCCAGATTTATTTCCATAGCAGTTCACAAAGAAATCGTTCTTTTTATTCATAAAGGTAGTTGATTCTTATCACTTTAACTTTTCTTGTCGTAACTTTGCCACTATGATTTGTGTATCATGTACTTTATTTTCTTTCATGTTTAATAATTTTTTGCGTGCAAATTAAAAAAAGCGTCGAGCTTACAGTCAACTCTCCACGCTTCAACAAACCATCTAATATTTTACACGTCCCCTGTTTTGTTGGACTTAAAACTGCTAGCATTTAAACAGGGTCTTTTATGTATTTGTTATTTATTTAGGAAATATGTAAAGCAAGTGGCTAAGCACCAAAAATTACGCATTTCTGGGAATAATTTCTTTTTACATAACACATCCACGTCTGATTTGTCTGAACAAAAAATACCGTAAAATTCTGAAAATAAGCCCCTCCAAATATAAGCCCCCCAAACCGGTAACGTAAAAAACCCTCTATTAAATCGCCTCCTCCAAATATAACTCCCCTGGGGGCTTGAAATTGGAAAATTGCCCTCAAATACAAAGTATAATAAAGCAAAAACAGTAAATTTTCTTCCAACTATATCGATTTTGAAATGCAAATTTCCCTCCATAGATAAGCCCCTCGAAAAGGGCCTTTTAAAAATTATAAGTCCTGGGGCTTATTTTCGGAATTTTACGGTAACTGTACTTCATTGAAATTTAGCCGGAAAATCTTGAGTAGTAGATGGAGAAGTCTCCGATCTCTGACGCTTAATGAAACCCCTGTCATAGCAAGGTAAAATAGAGGTAACACAAAAAAATATTATTAGGATGGTGTGATGTTCATTCCCAATATCAACTGTTGTCCCCATAGCAAAGCTCCCATGTGCACAGCAGAGCATTATGGGTAATAAAATTTGGTTATCTATCCTCCCATGAAATTTTGGTTGTGATTAAAATGTTCTTATGTCCACCGCGACACATAAATCAGATGGGAACACCAAGTGTTAAATTTGAAAGACACAAATTATTGGAATGAGTTTTTGACAACTGGAGACACGTATTTCAAAACTGGAAATTGTTGATTTTTTAATATAATATTTTCTTTGTCAGATTAATTTAGGGTTGAAAACCATTTAATAATATTAAGAATTTTATTCTGCCTGATAGATATACAGGTTTAGAATCAAGTGATGTAGAGATGAGCACTCAGGAAGGTAACCATTTGAAACTGTTGATGGACAAGTTACATGAGAAGAATAGGGAAATCAGGAAGTTGATTACAGACAATGAAGTAAATGAAGCAGATGAAAGCGGCAGTAGCAGTGGAAGTGGTGGCCAAGGTAACTACCTTTACTCTGTGTAAGCAAAACTGTAAATGTCATCTTTAAATGCCATTATTTTGCCAANAAAGACACAAATTATTGGAATGAGTTTTTGACAACTGGAGACACGTATTTCAAAACTGGAAATTGTTGATTTTTTAATATAATATTTTCTTTGTCAGATTAATTTAGGGTTGAAAACCATTTAATAATATTAAGAATTTTATTCTGCCTGATAGATATACAGGTTTAGAATCAAGTGATGTAGAGATGAGCACTCAGGAAGGTAACCATTTGAAACTGTTGATGGACAAGTTACATGAGAAGAATAGGGAAATCAGGAAGTTGATTACAGACAATGAAGTAAATGAAGCAGATGAAAGCGGCAGTAGCAGTGGAAGTGGTGGCCAAGGTAACTACCTTTACTCTGTGTAAGCAAAACTGTAAATGTCATCTTTAAATGCCATTATTTTGCCAAGATCAAAATTCCAAATTCTATATTCTTCATAATTCTTAAAAAACAAAAAGTACTATCCCTAAGCAGTGTGGAAGACATTTCATTTTTCCCTAATTGAATCGTCTATAATCATGATTCATAAGTTGTAATAAACAACTTTCTTTCTACCTCTCCATAGAAAATGGAAGTGCTGATTGTGTTGAGGATGATGAAGATTGTGGTAGTGGAGGCGGATGGAGTGGAAATAAAATCAACAATGAAATCACTGAAGAAGATTCAAGTGAGTAATTAGTAGATTCTGCTAGCAGATAATCTGTCAGCTGACATTAAAGTCTTTATTACTATAATGTCTTTCAGCAAAAGACTCAGATGTCTACCTAGTCAATGGCACCAAAGAACCAAGCAATGAGGTTGACGATACACAGGGTGGTGGTGTTCCCAATGCTTCACAATCTGGGAATGTACTAGCTCAAGGGAACGTGTCGTCACACTTAGCCAGCTGCCTGTTTAATATACTAGCTCTGCTTTTATTTTTGTTGCTCATCAGAAATTGGTAGTCATAACTGGGAAAAAAATTGTGGTTTTTCGTCAACAATGTTAGGAGGTGTAAGCCTTTTATTATAATGATCTTATTATTACGGGATAACACTGCAGACAAACATCATCCTTAGAATTAACACCGTAGGAAAGTCAAGGAAGGTAACCGTATGAATGCAATAGGTTGCAAACTCTTTTACTTCTAAAATATATATATGTGTCCACAGACTTGTTTTTCAGCAGTAACAAGGGTTGATACTTTTTATTAAATTCTAAACCTGTTATAATGTATCTCTAGCTTTATCATTGGTTCATTGGATCTTGGTAATGATTTTATTTCATAGTTTCACCTTTTTGGGAAATGAGGTGCAACAACAGTGAACTCAGACTGATACCCTGAAGCCTGCTCAATTACTGAGGGTTTTTTTTTAATTAAATGAAAGTAGGTGAAAACAAAGAATGAGACGAATTTAATAATGCAGTTTGCCTTTGTTTGATACCAGTTTGATTATAGCCAACTCATAACCATTGCGGGCCCGAGGGAAAATATTATTGTTAAATACTTACAGGACTTGTGGATGTGACATGTGTTAATAAGTTTTCCACTCTGAGTCATTAGCTGGGTGGTTACTTTTTTGGGTGATAATGAAAGGATAGTTGCATTTTTCTTGGCTCAGAAGTTAATGCTTGACAAATATTTAATTTTGTATGATGGTCACACATGAAGACATATTTTGTTTTGTGAAGCAACAGGCAATAACACTTCATGTAATTTAGAGCTTTTGGTTTTAAACTCTAAAACAAGAAGTTGGTTCACTTCTAAATTAAACTTTTAGATCTCTTGCTAGCGACATTTAAGGCAAAGGCTTTTGGTTGCGTATTTTTGAAATCAAAAGGCTGCTAAACTTGACCTTCACGCTTGGACCCTATACAGATGATTCTTGTAATTTTATTGCCAATATATCTAAATTAGTCTACTTGTTGGCCTGTTTTTTTTAAAAAGGAATTACAAATACAGGGCTCAAAAAAGTCCTGTCTGGATGTTGTTCTTGCGTGACAAGTTACTTTTTAAGTTGCTCATTTGCCCAGTAGTCAAAGGGTCTAACAATCAAGAAAAGTGTCAGAGCTGAGTTGCTTGTCCAAAAGTCACACTGGAATTAAAGGTTTTTTTAGCCCTGCCAATGGCCAATATTTATAGTTTTGTCTCTTTTCTAAGTAGACCAGACATATTTAAGAAACACACTTCTTCAGCCTTAACAAAAAAAATTGCCATTGTTGTCAATTATGAAATGTTATATTTTGGATACAAATTATGGGCTAATAACTTATATTCATTGATTAAATATTAAAGCAAATGAAGGCTGAAGTGAGCATTTCAATAGATATTATTTTCATTTGTGAAGCTGTTCGTAGTTGTCACATCTTTTAGTTATCCATAGTTGTATCATGGTAGGTTATTTGACTGAAAAGTTATTGTTTATGTGTGTGTAGAAAGTGTTGCTTTATTACCATTTTGTTCATAATGTACAGATTATCAAAGGCTCTCTTTTCGCTATTTCAAAGCATTGTCTTATAAGACTATTTACACTACATTATCTTAATCATGTATAGCAGAGCACATCAGATTCTTCCAGATGTATGGTACATGTCATTAGAATCTTTACTATGAATTTTATGTGTCCCAGCTTCACATTGCTTTAGAATTCAAGGGGGAACATGATTGGAAAATAGGGTGGAAAGAGAGATTGAAAATTCAGGCTACAACACAATTATGTCTACTTTAGCCACTACCAGGAACATGCCTTTAATGCTTCAAAAACACAAAACTAGCAATGTTTGAGTTTCTTCTTGTAGAAATTTGATGCTGTAAAAGTAACTGTAAATACTATTAATGTATAGTAAAGCAGTAAACATTTTACACACTGTGAATCCTCTTTCAAGTCCTCTCAAAAAACTTCCCTCAGAAATGAAACATACCAGTACAAGTTTCCCTGCCATTTTTACTTTCAGACTAATAAACAATAGGCAGTTGACTAATACTTTATGTATTGATTTTTATGGTGAAATTTTTTATACATCACTCCAATGCCTCTGACAGTCACTTTAGTCTGAGTCTTCCTCCTGTCTTACTAGTAACCCAAGTGTGCTTGAAGAAAGTAAAACCTCCCCCTCAAAGGGTGGGGCTTAAAGGAGGATTTACGATAATTATGGTAGTTTCATTATTTGCTCGTCAACGTTTATTAGAGTAAGTATGGTTTATCGGTGTATGTATTAAAATCCAAAAGAAATTAGCGGCATGATTTTAAACATTGTAAATAAATGTTAGTTTCAGTAATATTATTTGTGTTGTACCGATTGTTTTATGTTTTTGCAAGTATGAATTGGATGTGTTCCTTTGAGATGATCAGGGGTCAATTTAATAAAAAAATTACAAGTGTAGTTTACAGTGTGGCCATTGTTTTCAACTCTGAAAACAATAGCTACACTTGTAAAAGTGTTTTTAAATTGACTCCAGGATCAGTGATCCAAGATCACTGATTGGATCATGTTGCATCAAATGAACCTATGAATCCACTCTGAACGAGGATTCATCGGTTTATTTGATCTACCATGATCCAAGTGATCTCGGATCACTGATCCATATCTGGATCATCCCAAACGAACGCACCCTTTTACGATTTATGCAGTTTATGTAATAAGGTCTCGGAGACTGTCAGGCAGAAAACCTTTGCGAGCCTTAACACGACACAAGCTGAGTGAACAACACTGATGCAATAACCAGTGGTGGAAGGTTAAGCGATAGAGGATAGCCACGAAAACCCACAATAGCTATTTTACTGGTATCTTCACCTGGGGTGGGAACGGGAAAATAGATAGCAAAAGTAAAATAGTAGTACTGTAATGAATTTTTTGGCCCTATTGACCACCCTGTTTCATCTCAAATTGGGTCAAACATAAGAAGATCAGAAGTTAGCAAGAAATGCAGGGGTTTCAAATTGAAGGGGGTAGAGGAAAATAACTTGAATGGTGTACAAGAGAGGATGGAGGGGATACTCTCCCTCCCACATTTCCCTTTGTGTACTTGCCACGCCCCAGGGAGATTACCTTAATCACAAGTGCAATATTTAGATTTGCCCCTTGAACAGGGTTATATAGTAAGGAGTTTTGAAAACGTTTTGGGCGATTGCTTGGTGTTGCAGATTGGTGCAATTATCACAAAACGACTTAATACAAAAGACTGAAAAGACACCATCAGTGAACAATACCCACACCACAACATACAAACAAATCAACAATGGTTCTGATCCTGTAACACAAAGATGGGTACAATCACAAAATGACGTTATACCAAAGATTGAAAAGACGGACCATTCATTAATCTGCCCACCTACCCGTCCCCTAAGCCAACACTTTGCCCTAAGTGAGAAGTAAGTGTTAATGTCGGCTTAGGGGAGGGGTAGGTGGGCAGTTTCCCGAAACATCAACACTTTGCCCTTCACCAATGGGTAAAATAAGGGCTTTTGTGGCAGTACCCCACAAACGCGTGTCTAAATGCCCACCCCAAACAACAAACAGAACAAAACAAAACACAACAAGGACAAACAACACCTTAAACCAGACGTCAGTTTCTTTTCAACCCATGAAACAAAAATTCAATCAATCCTTGAAACCACAAATGGGTAGTCCTTTTAATGATAAATGTGAACAGTTTTCACAACTTAGTTTTACAACAAGAGACCCATTTCATGTCACAATAGAAAAGTATTATAAATTAATAAAAACTTTGTATCAGGGGCAAAAAGAAAGGTGAGGTTTTTTCACAAGTTCTTTTTAATGTTTCAAACCTTAATAGTGACATACATCTCTTTTTATGTTGTAGATAGATGTAATAAATGCATAATCCAAAACCTTCTGCTTTCAATATAAAAGCCAAACCAAACGATTTGTTGATCTGGTTCTGACCTTAAAGTACTTTAATTTCATCGCACTGGTTTCTCCCAATCACCCACTAGCTAAGAAGACCTTACTTATGTGGATAGTCTGTAAGCAAGCTCTCCAAATTGAGTTACAAGCAAGGCAATCCACAAGAGATTGGATGAGCAAGAGGGCTGGGGAATCCCCAGCTCTCAGTCCCCTTTTGCATGCTGCTGATTGGCACTTTTCTTTTGATATCCCAAAATTGAGACCTTGCTGGCAGGCTACTGTGAATAAGGAATTGAAAGAGTGCCTTGGTGGATCAAGGCCCTCTACAAGAAACATGGTTTCCTCACAGAGATTTTGAAAACCTGTTTCTGTTACCCAACACTATTTCTGTTGAGCAATGTAGAAATTATATTAAACATGATGCGACTATTCTACAAGATAAAGGTTTTTTAAAACCCTTGTTTAACAATGACACAAGTATTGTTAGATTTGACAAAAAACCTGTTCACATAATTCTTGATGGGCAAACTTGACTGAGGCCTCGTGCTCAGATTTTTTTTTCAAATACATATGCAGCACTTCCAAGGTTGCAAACAAAATGTTCACAGTAATAATTTATATTATTGTGGATTAGTAAATTTTTTTTCAGGAGATTCTCTGACAAAATAAGCCCCTTCCAAAACATGTATAATTGTTTGGTAAAAAAATACACTTCGGATATCAACATAATAATAAATGCCACAAGCTAACCCCATTTGTGAAACTGGTCACCACTCAAACCTTTCCCCGCAAAAAATTTCAAACCTCTCAACTACACATGGTTCTCTTGGTAATAATGCAACCAAACTTCAAACAAAATGAAGACACTGAGGTCTTGACTGAACATACACATAATTAAGTATATGCCATTTATGCAGGCTTTTCATTAGAAGGGTCAAAAACTAAGCAGGGGTCAATTTCATAAAACTTTGACATGTGTAATTTACAAGTGTAGCTATTGTTTGAGAGTATGAAAACAATAGCCACACTAGTAAATTAGCCCAGCTCTCAATCCATAAAAGTCATAAAGTACCTTGTAATGCTGTTTGTCACAATGTTATTATTTGTTTGTTTGGTTTTTTGTTGTTTGTTTTTGGTGTTTTTTTTTTTTGTTTTTTGTGGGGGGGGGGGGGGGGACGCTTAGTCAACTTGTGACATTTATGTTTTTCAAAAGATAAGTATCACAAATGACCGTAGTCAATTTTTGGGAAATTCATGGTTGCTATGTCTGAAGTATTGTCTTTCAAAAGTAATGGTTTTTGTAAATTCCCACCCTCTTCAAGGGTTTGAAGGTTACTAGGAATGTAGCCTACAGAGTTGCCTGTGTTGCACACGTTCTTACCCTTCTGTGCTATTCAAATAGTTTAGATGAGTGCGTGGGCTGGCTGCAACGCAGGCAACCTGCATAGCAGGTGCTTGAAAGTAATGGCGCAAGACGAATGGAGCAGGCTTCTGCGAATGCAGCAAAATTGCAAGTTTCTTCATGCTGCCTCAAACCTAATGGTGTTTCTCATTTCTTCTTGCCCAAACCATATTTTGTTCTTGTAGCTAACATGATGTATTGGTACTCTATATACACAATATTATTGAATAGTTTGCATGTCTTGCAAACCATACGTATATTAGTTTAGCAGACATATTCATCCTTCTTCTGGATTTTCAAATAAAAATGAATTTATACAAAAAGTTATGTCTTCACTCAGTCAAAGGCAAGCTTAAAAATTTACAAATTAATTTACATTTTGTTGTGACAACTTTCTGTAAAAAATAATCCCCTGGAAATAAAAGCTTGTTAATGTTCACTCTTAAATTTATAGTTGCCCCCTTTGGGAGTTTGAGTGTGGCAAGACTTTTGCAGTGTACTGTACTATATCAAGTGACCAATGTTTCATGGGCAGTCGGTATAAAACTATACTGCAAATCCTCTTTCTGTGGACACAATTATTGTAATATATGTGTTCCAATCTAGTTATGCAATTAGAATGCCCAGGAAGGCCCAAAGCAGAGAGACTAAAAGCCACACTTCTGCATGATGCTGGGTTGCAATATTCCTTCGTTTTCCAGGACTGGGTTTCCCAATTCCTCCACCAAGCTTATCATCACCCGCTGGGTCATCATCAACTATACCATTAGTATCTGGATTGTCAGTGACAGTTTCTGTCATCTCTGTAATCTCATTTACTCCACTCGCTTCATCTCCACTACCACTACCGCTACCACTCCCTGATCCACTAACATCGTTGTCTATGATTTCTTCTCCATTTATGGCTGCATTCAACTGATCTGTTATTTCTTTAAGTTTGACAATTGCTTGGCGTACTTCTGGTTTCAAGTCTTCTGAGATGTCATTCCCTCCATCCTCAGGGCTTGTGTAACTAAAGGTATAGAGAGGTGTCACAATATTTTAACCCTTTAAGCCCCAGTATCCACATACAAATTCTCCAAACTGATCTCCATACATTTCCTTAAAAAAATAGTTGAGAGAATTTGTTGATAGATCAAGGCATTTCCTCTTGGGTGATCATTTTATTTATTCTCATAACTTATCTCTTGACAGTGTATGGATATTGTTAGGAGAAAATTGATCTTGGTCACTATTGGGACTTAAAGGGTTACTATGGCAAAGCATTATGTCAAAATGAGAGGGGGGGCTGTTAATTTGGGCAGCAGTATCAAGGAGGCAGGTCAGTGCATATTCCCTCCAGGGCTAGCATATTCAAAGCTGGGCTAAGATAGTCAAAGGCTAGTGCAAAACTTGTATTCACAAATGGAAGCACAAAAAGCCAATTCATTTTTTATTCTTTTTGTCTACAATACCATGATTGGATGCTCTATCAAAGAAAATGTTTTTTAAACAAAATATAAAGAAACCAGGTTACAATTTAACCCTGGGTTAGCACTAATCAGCCTCTGGACTGGTTCCAGAAAGTAATGATCATTGGTTGAAAATTAAAAACATTTGGGCATAAAAGACAACATAAAACCACTGTAAATTAATGTACAAAGCTGTTGGGTGGATAGTGGTTATACCAGCAAAGTATGTTTGCATATTTTGTCAACTGATGCAATTTTCTCATCAAACACACAAACTAAACTGTACCATTAAGGATGTGAAATTTGTTAGGACAAAAAATAAGGGAAAGGCTATGCATTCAAAAGCTGGAATCTGTTCAAATTATTTTAAGTTCATACCAGTAATATTTTTCTTTCAAGAATGTTTAAATTGCTTACCTCCCTTTGCCAACACCATTCCAACAATCAGACTTCTGTTTGACAGAAATGTCACCACAAACATTATCTGGAAGAGTGCTCCAAAAGTTATCTGCGGCTTTCATTTTTGATTTGAAACTGCCAGTCAGTCTAATGATCAGAAAGAAAAATAGATAATTGAATTGTGAGTATAAGAACCAAAAACAGTCCTCAACTAGTAAAAGAATAACACTAAGAAATAACTGAATAAACAGAGCTGTTTTTACTCTGCACTAATTTTAATTCTACCACTGCCATTGGGAGGAGGGGTATAAAGTTTTCAGTTTTGCTGTTTGAGCTATTTTTGGAGGTTGCTGGGGAGGTGGAGTCTCAAAAAATTTAAGTATTAGCCTAAACTAAAATTTCCAAAGGGATAGGGGGTGGGAGTGAATGGACATGTTTTGAACAATTGTATGTTTTTTTATATTTGTTATATATTTTTTTTCATCATCACCAACAACCAGGGTTGTCAGAAAGTTTGAAATAGATGGCTGAGTTGTCAAAGTAACCAGCCAGTCCAGGGATATTTTATTTAAAAAACACCATCTGTAAAGAAATGCCAAGCAGAGTAGCTGGCCGATACTAACCAAGTAAGTGGCGATTTTTGCTGGCAGCCAGCTACTTTTGACAACCCTGAACAACCCCACTACAAAGTGAGTAACAGCAACATGCAGTTTAGCCACATAGATATGACATTTTCAACATTCAGATGTCATATTTTGAAGACTGGTGACCTGGCTTTGTGCTTTTCACACTCAGATGTAACGTTCAACCATTAAACTATTTCATAAAAGGAACAGTAATTACTTGTCAAAGCTGCCCTTTGAAGAATCCGTTCTTGCTAATGTCATTAAATCACTATTTCTTCTATGTCTATTGCTTCCTTCAATGAAAAAGTCATCTGTAGATCTCCTTGATACCCTTGGATTACCACACTCCGAAGCTTGGAAGACCTACAAAAACAGCACAGATGAACTATGCTTTTGAACATGTACCTTTAAAATGTCAAGAATTTATAACTGCCCATAGTGCAAGAAGCTGAGGCTGGTTTGAAATCCTAAAGCAAAACATACTGATTTGGGCACACGGACAAAATAAATTTCTTGAAAAAAAACTTTTTTGTCACAGCCTCTAGCTTAAAGAAGCAGACAACAAGTGGAGTCACACATTGCAAACAGAGTTGAACTCTTTGGAGCTCTTCAAATTTCATGACTTTTTCCATGAGTTCTTAAAGTTTGCCACCACCTTAGGTTTAGCTGTCACTAAGAAAATTTACAAACACATACTTGCGTAATTGTTTTAGGGTATTTTTTTACCCATCTAAGTTTAAAAGACACTGTAAAATGAGCATTTGCTCTTGAAATTTTGGTCCGCATAGCAAGTTATGAACTGCAAATTGACCAATTGCATGGCAAAGACAGACTTAGCCATATAATAAATTTAATTTATCTTTTGCAAGCATTTTCTTAATTCTCGTGACCACTGTTTTTTATAGCACTGATAGTATAAGAAGCAGATATACAATGCTAATCACTCTTATGCAGGGGCGGATCTAGGGGGAGGGTGCAGGGAGTGCACATCCCCCCCCCCCCTGAGATGACCTGCGGTTTTCTAAAAGAACTGGTATTCTGCAAAAAAAAAAAACTATGTGGTTTATTAGTGTTGAAGTAGAGCAAGAGACAAGTGCATCCCCTCCTAAAAAAAATCCTGGATCCACCCCTGCTTATGGGCTTTAAGGACCAAGCACAGTGTTGTGGAAACCTCTTAATAAAATGCCAAATACATTTGGTATGCTCTTTACTATCTTGGCTTCAGTTTAATAGGCAAAACAAGAACAAAACTTTTCAGCGAACCAAATAGTCCATTTCCTTACCTTTTTCTTCACTTCTTCCGTCTTTTGTTTATCCTGAAAGTTCATGATTCCTAGAGAAATCTTGAAGTTTAATCCAGAAATCACATCTTGGATGTTGGTAGGACCAGTTTGTTTCTCCAAGAGGTCATTCAAAGCTGCCATGTAGCTCTGCCATAGGGTGTTTACTCTGGTGATGTCCACTAGACAACTTTTATGTACATCAGTGCAAAACTTATAACACGGTTTCAAGGAAGTCATTGCTTTGCACCATGAACAATACTTTAGTTTGACAAGGTGATTCTTACAGTTTTCAGAAGCAGAAACAGCCCTTTTGAGCATGTGAATAACATCTTGACCGTCAAAGAGAGCTTTGGAAAAAGTTCTGGCATGGATTAACACTTTCCTTATTTGTGGCTTCAGTTTTTCTGGCACATCTCCAAATGGTCGCAACTCATCAACTTGTCGCGATACGCAGCTAAGGTATGACTCAGTGAACGTGTACTGAGTGTTCATTATCTGAAACATGCGACCCATAAGCTTGGTGAAAAATGTATCCATTATGCCATTGATGTCAGAACCAGTTGTTCCCCTGTAATAACTTGTAAGGTCCACAAAAAAGTCCATGAATAATTGTTTGTTTTTCTCATAGTGCATGCCATAAATCCTTGTGAACATTGAGTCTAAGTCCTGCTGAGACTCCTTGATGAGTTCCTGGAAGTAATCTGATGAAAGTGAAAAAGAAACAATGGAGGTCAGAGACAAGCTGATGTAGCTGCACCTTTCCAGCAGAGCCTCTATCTCGCTTGCTCAATTTTGGCATACTCGAGAAAGGCTTTGCATGAATTGAGTAAGATCCTTATGGAGCATGTGTGGCATGTCAGGCCTCAAAATAATGGCTGGTCAACAGACAATGTCCGGGCTGATTGGGGAGTTGGCCAGTCAACCTTTCACCTTGCCAGTCAGGTTGGCCAGTCACACTGGATCATATTAAAAATGAAATGAATTAAAATTTCCACGCTGCTCTTCACGCTGTACTTCCGGTCACAAAATTGAAAATATTTTCACTTTTATTAGTTAAGCAACAACTAATTGGAAATACACAATGCCAGTTTTGGTTTATTGGCACTTGTTTTAAGAGTTACATTTAGCCTTATCAATTTGACCTTCCAGAAACGATACTTGACCAAGCTAAAATGAATTTGGCCAGTCATCGTGTCCAGAGACTCTCGAGAAATTATTTTGAGCCCTGCATGTTACTAGGATATAGTTTTGAACCCAGCCCAGGAAACAAAGAAAGTCAGTTTTACAGCTTGCCATAATTCATGCAAGCTGTAACTAGTATGTATTAGCCCAAAAGTAATAACTCCCCACAACGCTTCATATGCCCATTGGGCAAGTTAGGAATAGAATAGACTAGCCTGATAGTAAAGTCAACAAGCCTTGGGCTGTTGGACACAACTTTCTTTGCACGTTACAGGCCTAATAGCTGTGTGCTTGCTACAGTGGGTTCAGTTTTGACCATTACTTTATCAATGAAAGGGATAATAATATCTTTGGCTCGAAGATATTAGCACTTGAGTGCTACACTGTAAATTCGAGGGTAAATAAAGTTTATTGATTGATTGATTGATTGACTTGCAATAGAAAAAAACAGTTTGATGATAGAAAACAAATTGACTAGTCTGGAAGTTTGGGCTGCAGTGACCTCAAGGGCTTGACGCAATTCAGACAGACCCTACTTTTCTCCTATTCACTCAAGAAGGCAAAAAAAGGCTCTGCTCGCAAGGTGCTGCAGGTGCTTTGAAAAAAAATTGTATGATATGGCATACAGAATTGACATGTCATTTAAATACGTAAAGGTCTTAATTGTAACAGAACAATAATATGAATTATGAAGTGATTGCTGTGCTCTAGCAGAGCCCGGTGGCCCCTGGCGCCTAACTTTTGCTCTCGGGCGACTAGGAAATCTTAGCTTTTTCATACAAATCATATGCTGGGCATCCTAGATTTTACGGTTTCAGAGCACTGGGCTCCCTTCAATTTGCCTTAGAGCACAGCCTTGTTAAGGTTCAAAAGGGAGAAGAGCAGATTCTATAAACCAAGAATAACACATAACTCAAGCCAGGATTCAACAAAAAACCTTTACATCACCCCAAATAACTAATTTTATTGCATGGTTTCTGTCATTGCTTGTTTGGCAATTATTCCCATGACCTACCAGAATGATTCAGGGTTTTTCTTTCTTGTGCAAATTAAGGTCTTTGGTATTTAAACCTCACTGGCATTACCAAGACATGAAAGAAAATTCAATTACAGTACAGGACTCAAACTCAGTTAATGAGAGTTATAGATGTTCTTTGAGGATCGGTAATGCATGATTATGTGTCCAATACTGAAAGGCAGTTTACCCCTTCTGGCCAATATCTATGTTTTCTCAGAAATAAACTTTTAAGGAGTTAAAAACTGCTAGAGAGACTTGACTGCTTGGAGGGCCAGTTTTGGAAAATTACACAACAATACATACACCACAAGCTATAGAAAATGAATTTCCCACAATCAATTTTTCATGACAGTGAATTGTACGCTAGTAGTATTCATTGATATCCAAATGCCAGAAAATAAAGATGTCTGGCAAACCAGACAAGAGCAGGTGATGACAAAAGTTGTGTTCAGGGTTTTCATTAAGAATTCTAGTAGATGGAGAAAGGTGTAGTAACATTATAGGAGAATAATGTGACAGAGGTTCCATGTCTGAATAAAAAATAGTCATAGGCTTCCGAACGTTAGCTGGCGAATTCTGGCCTGAGTAAACGGAGAGTTCTCTGATTTCTGATGCCTAATTAACACTCTGTGTGTTGGAAATTGTGTACAAGCATGATATACAGCTGCCATATTAGCTAAAAATTAGGTACAAGATTACATCAGTCATGTGATTTAGAATTTTGGTCCACTCTGTGAATACAAACAATACTGTAAGCAATATTTATAATGTATACAAATATTAAGTTGTTTTGTGTTTGACAATTAATTTTCTTTCGGGCATATGTTAATAATTAGGCTTATTGGTAGTGCAGAAGTGCTGTGAAGATGAAACTTGAATTGGTGAAACTCAGTTTGAATCAAACATAATCAAAAATAATGATTTATTCAACTGAATCCAAATGACAAATTTACTTGGATATACACACAAATATCCAAAAGGAAATGATGCTATACTAGCAATAGATTACAATATTGTTGCTCCAAATTTTTTTTATTGTCATCATCATGATCATCTTTGGACTGGGCACTTTTAGCTTTTTCATAGAAATCCTATGCTGGGCAACCTTGATTTTTCCTTTTGATTTTTCTTAGTGCACAGCCTCAATCAATTTCACTGAGTTTTAAACTTGGTAAAAAAAATTGATTAAAAAAGCACGTCACTTCTTAGCAACTAAATTTAAGATGACAAGCTAAAGACTACATCATTGTTGAAGCAGAAACGCCTTATGCTTTGAAAAAAAAACTGTCACTTTGCAAAAACAATATACTACACAGTGATCTAAAAATAATTATATGACATTATTAGTAATTCTGGTTTTGCATGAAACTGTAAGAAATGTTACTAAGGTTGCTGTTTCATTGTGACTCACATTTTTTAAATATAGAAAACATATCCGGTGTTTTCTAAATAAACTTGCTCGGATCAAAACTCCAAAACAAAAAACAGAATTTGTTTCAAAATTCAAAATAATAATGATTATGATTTGTTAAGAACCTACTGAATAAAGAATTTTTCATCTGTATCCATGGTTGTCAGCAATGGCTGGTTGCCACTGGATACTACCACCAGCTTGCTGTCTTTGGCCAGCTACTCTGATACGCTATTACCCTGATAAGCCAAATAAGCACCCCCCCCCTCCCCCACCTCAAATGGGCTTGAAAAAAATAAGCTGCTTGGGAGGCTTTGTAGAGGATTTAAGGTGATGTAATAACCCATGTTCGATATATTAAAATTCTAACATGACTCCAAGGCTTTCTAGTCATATTTGGTTTGGTTTTCTATGTGCTTAAGTCTCTTCTGGCAATTGTGAGAGAGTGGACTTGTGGAAAATTTGCAATTTTGACCCTAAAACCTGGGAGTCATGTTAGAATTTACATGAACCTAAGGTTGACTATTCATTGACATAATAGCTACCATTTATAGATTATCAAAAACTAAATGAATAAAGAAAACCGTAGCTGATTAGGGCAAAGGATGGGATCTCCAAGCCATTCACAATTCCCTCCTGGGATTACGAAACAACTATCTGTTAGCAAACCTCATTTTACATCACTGATAAAGTTCAAGCAATTTAAACAAAATATTTAATTTTTAGAAATTGTTACTCTGAGTTTTGGAATTTGCTAAATAATGTTAACTACTAAGAAATGGTGACTTATCCACATACTTTCTTTAACTTCAAAAACTACAGTATAAAGACTGTCATGAAAGGGTTAAATACGTGAAATTCTTTCTCTAGGGATTATCCAGTTTTCTGCACTCCTAAAACACCAAAATTCATAATTTCAATACCATTTAGAACACTTGCGAACATGACACCACAAAATCGTTATTTATTCTACAATTTGTTTGCTTACGAAGGCAAAAAGATTGCAGGTTACCAGCTGTGATTAAAGTTGTGCAAGTATTTTCCATAATGCAAAAGATAACAGTCTTCATGTGTCTAGACACTGACAAATTACACTGCAAATTACGATGAATTAGTAATTTCAAGATTTCCACTATAATGGTCATACACAACACACTGCAAACGTAGCAATATTCAAGGGCTGCTACCATCAGAGGTTCAAAACTCTCCTTTACAGAGTTAGGCATAGAGGAAACTCCACGTTTGTTTCATTTTGCTGAAACTGTCCCTGGTTAGATTTCGAAAGTGTGGATGTACACCAAATGGGTTTTGCTAGTTTAATAAGTGTCCATTTAAACTAAAGATGAGGTGCTAAATTGAAATGCGCCAAGCGAGGACATTTTGACCTCGCCACGCCGCAAAACGCTGTAAAGAGCGTGTTTGCATTTCATAATTAGCAATGTGTATTTATAATAATGTGCTTTAATCCAATTAAGTTCCAATTCCGTTAGGCAAGACCTCAAAGAATCAGTAATTTCAGTGAAGTCTTCATGGTTTACCGACACTTTCCTCGAACATGTCGGAATTAGGAAGGCCGCAGCGAGAGTTCACTTCCGCGATTAATCATAAACCTTCTTTGTAACCGACTTATATTCAAGGACCTGACAAAAAAAAACATCAGAATCTCTGATACAAATGGTTGGGCAGTATTTCAGACTTAACAAAGTACAGAAAAATCTAGTACGTCAAAGAAATAGTGTTTAACTACCTAAAAATATCGTTTACATAAAAGTTCACGGCCAATATTTCGCCTATGTTTGGTCGTAAATTACACCTTTGAAGAGTTAAGAATGCGTACTTTCTTCTGATTTCAGATGACAGCGAGTATCTTATCTAAGCAATATAACTGGATATATAATTTTGGTTCATGCACACATTGTTAGCCGAGTAAACCACGAATCCATGAAAACAATCGAAGATTAATAAAAAAAACCAAAGATTTCATCTTTTTTTAATTTAAATGTACAATAGCCCCAGGCGAATGCAACTGTGACAAACAAAACTCATTTTCTAAATTTACAACTCACATCTGATGGTTTTGTCCAACACGATTCAGATAAATGCTGAAGAAATAACAAACTATTCTTGTGACCTCTCGAAGGGGGGTTTTCTAAACGCTTGTTCCATAACATGCTCCCATGTGGTTACTGAACACTGATTTATAAACTTTATTGTTCGCAAACCCACTCAAGACAGCATGACATTCTTCTTGTTTTGCCTCAAACGAGCACGATTCTCGCCCAAAAAATTTCGTGAGGTAGCAAATGTAACATAACACCGACACTTCAAACTTGTGGAAAGACTTTGCGTCGCTCCGACACGCAGATCTGACAAGTTCATTTCAAAATGGCATCGCAGCCTTTTGTGATTAAACTTTCACGCCGTGAAACGTGCAAGCGATTTTAAGGTTTATGAAATGGACGAAAGAAAAGGATTTTTAAGGAAGCGTTCGTTTCATTGTGGTAGATTAACACACGAAATTGATAATTTTTAAGCTTGTTTTCTCCGACATTCCGAAGAGATATGAAGATAAGGTTACATAGCAGTTTTCGAGAGCTATGTTACTTTCAACACTGCCGCAAGTACGTGCAAGTTTACCCATTTCTCATCGATCTTAGATCTACGATTCGCTTTCCTAAATGACCACTAACAAGAAAAAAATTACTTATTTTTTCTTGTTACAGCAATCAGGAGATTAAAGCGAATTGAGCGACAGAAATGAGTGCCGTAATTACTGCTTAAGGCTTGTGGGTAAAAGTATCATAAAAACGCAGTCCTGTTTACTTTTGAGTTTCGGCCAATTTCCTGTGCACCAAATCCCTTTCATTCTATATTAGGCAGGCTGACCTTTACAAACCCTAAAAATGCCAGAGGCGAAATGTTTATACGCTTCATCTAAGAAATAAATCGAAAGCAAAGGGGTAAAAACCGGGAGAGAAAAGCATAATATTACAATAAAACGCAAGCTTAGCTTATTTCACATAAAGCTGGGCTCAACTCGGCATGCACACGCCAAATGAGTCTCCATTAGCGGGTTTTTTCAGTCGCAAACTTAATCCACACTCTTTCACACTTTGTACATTTTACTGCGAACAGCTTACCGTCAAATATTTTGGCCTGGACGCCAAAGAGATTCCCCAATTCTTCAACTTTTTTGGACACCGCTTGATCGAAGTCGCCGCGCGCAAGGCTGGCGAAGCGATCTTCCATTCTTCGAGAGCAGCATTGCTTGCCGTTGTCTTTAGGGCATATAAGAAGGTCATTTCCTAAAAAACAAAATAAAGTTAGCAATATCATCAAATTGAAAGTCGAACTCGCCTAACTACCACCCCATGCAGGGTAATACACCTAAAACAAAATGAGGAAATCACAGAAAAGACCACATATTCATGAAGTACTGCTCCGTTGGTATGGCACTAACAAATGCTTACCATCAACGGCGGATGGAGGAACCTCGCTCTCTGTCAGCCTTTTCGATCTCCACGCGCTTTTCACTGTTGAACACGACAGTTCTTGACCAAAACCAACAGAAAAGCAAACGAACACAACGAGCATCAACCAGAACATGGCCATTGTCGCTGTATTACCAAAATCTCTGAGACGTAATGAACTGTCGGCGGCCCTCAAAACCTCTTCCACAACCGCGAGCTCTGGTTCGCGTTGGTTCAAATCACTGCCTCAGATCCGTTGTCAAACAAGTTCTAAAAGTCAAACAGTAAACGTTTTACTAATTCTTAACAGTAGGAAGGCAGTAAAAAATCACTCTTCCCGCTGTGCTCTGTGATCTCAACGGCGCTAATTGCAAGCCTTGTATTCGTTGACAAGCTTGGACAATTACACTGTGCATTACGTATTCAAAGGCGGGACATACTTACCGCGAGCCAATCAAAATTCGACTGCATGATTTTCCACAAATCACCCGCCTTATTTATATTTACGTCTTCTAAGCCGACTCTATTCAACACAAATACAATGAATAGAACACTTCTAGAGAAACAACGATTACATCGATCCAAAAAGAAAAAAAGTATTTATTTATTGTTATGAGCTGCCGTCGCAACCAAATCGAGGAGCAACTCTGCTAATTTTCGCAGACCTGAAACAAACTAACTTAATTTTGCTGATAAATAGTTTTGTCAATGTATCAACAACGAAAAAATGTGGACAATGACTATACGCCAAGCCCTTTGTATGAATGAAAAATTACGTATAACATTTTCGACCCGTAAAAGCAATATTCGTTTTAAAGGTGTTAATGACATTCTTCTTTGTCGTCGAAGTTTATTCCTGAAAACTCCCTTAATTTTTTATGTCTGCGTTTAAAAGGTCTCTTTTATGTTTCAAAAACAGGTGCCATGTACCATTCGGGTTACATAGTTTTTCATCTTGTTTCCAAAAACAGCCATAAACTAACAGAGTTTAATGCGAAAAGATTAACAGGTTTGATTTCTATTGTTTTAAGCACACAACACGGAGGAAGTTATTAACATTTTCTGGATGGCAAAAAAGTGAGCGAAACATTCGAAGCACTTCATTTTTTAGCTGATTTAAAAGATAAAAATGTTTGTAGGTACCTAAAGTCCTCATTTAAGTTTTTTAAAAGCGTTGAAAAGTCATCAAGCACCTGCAGAATTTCGTCGGCGATGAAAAAGGTTTTCTTTTTTGTTCCTGAAAATGATGATGTCATGCATGGTGAACGTGACTTGGGCAAAGAAAATTTAGATGAGGAATCTGCTTAAGTCAGCTTATATCATTACTGAAATAAAAACTAAGCGTGAGTAGATACGAATTTGGACTTAGTTCATCCTATCAAGCAAATAAATCTGGTCAAATTAAGGAAGCACACAAAAAAACCGACAACTGTTAAAGTGCTTTGTAAGTTTATGTTTGTTTCGTCAATTTATAGCTCATAAAGTAAGCTTTTTTACAGATTAACAAAGATGTGAGACTTTCCTGATTGTGTACAGTATTCCTAAACTGGAGGCTCCAATTTGGCGGATGTTTGTAATTAGCGGATGAAAAAGTAAAGGAAAGCATTATTCCACAATGCTTAACCCACATTACAGTTTCTCCTTACCAGGGGTTTGTGTGGGTGGCGATGTAGAAAATATCTTAATTTTGAGCGCCGGTTTAAGGGTGGGTCATTCGTATCATATCCCCTCACATTCCTCTTCTACCGGTTGCTGGTTTGTATCTTTAAAATTTTTAATGGCAAGGTGACAATATTATTTGCATAAGAATATGGTTAGTGATACTGTTGACTTTGCTCTTGAAGCTGCATGGCCATGTGACAAGCCTGGTCCGCAGACACCTCCTGAATTCTAGCGTTCAGATTACAATCGATACAACGTGGACACAGCAAAAAACTGTACCACATAAACATAACCAACTATGGTTTACAAACTTTTATTTGAGCACTCACACACAAATAAAAAGTTATGTTACCCCACCCGCGCCCGACCGTACCATCTTCAGTACAACTGGGTCACAATTATGCAATCTCCTCTTACTCAGTGTTGTGTGAAATGTAAGAGCTTCACCAAGGAAGGCATTAGCTCTAAATCCGCTTTGATGCTATTAAAGGTTTACTGAAATCTATTTAGGGACGGCGTTTAAACCGGTGCCTGATCACTAAAGAATCATACAGTATATCATGGTACATTCTGTAAACAGTTTAAGAGCAGTGTAAGAGTCAAAGCACACATCGGAACTCGCTAATCAGTGGCTCCTACTAGCTTCAAAGTTAGACTGATCACTTTCTCCTTTAAAGCAAAAGAGAATTAAAAGAAATTCCTACCATGTAGCTTTTCAGACATGGGGGTCGCGCCGAACAAGGTCACAACGTCACAGCGCTAATATACGCCCTCCAAGGTTAATGGACAGAACACAACACCACAGTCCATTAGTCTCGCCCCAAAACTAAGGAGAGGATTCATAGTGGGTTATGAAATCGTTTGCATGACTTGAGTCATTAATTTACACATTCTTACAATCGGGAGCTTTGAAAAAATCCAAAACGATAAAGTTTGTACAGTCATTGATATGATGAAATTTTAAGCCTTTTAAACTGATTTCTGTAGAACATTCTACCGGTTGAAGAAATTCAAGCTAAATTACTTAGTCTACTTAAGCCACTCGGCCACGACCTACTTCACAACCTGAGCAGTCAGTTAAAGATCTTACTAGTTTAGAGTTTAGCCGGTTTTCATAATTGCCTGGCAATTTTTGTCATCATGTTTAAAAGCTCTAGTGCAAATTTTTACCTTCAGTGATTGCCGTGCGCCGAAAACTTAAGTGATTGTTGTTGCACAGAGGAACCTGACTAGTTTATCTTCATTTTATCGGCCCTACTCTGTTATTATTATTTGTTCAAGATGTGATATGTTTGTTAAGAAAAGTGGTCATGTGACAGTACATTTTCCGTAATCGTATGAACAAAACGGGGTCATTAGTGCATACCTTACTAGAAAAACAGTAAATTGATACTTGCGTCAAGAAGACTGAGGGGCCTGAAAAAAGTAAAAACGATTCCTTTAGGTTTATACACTTCGCTACTTTTTTAATTATTATTTCTTTCTCTTGAATTTCTTGGAGTAAGGATCAACCTCTCGTTTTTCAACAATGTATCAATATTTTTAGAAGATCCGACTCCGCCTCACTGGTTTGTCGCTGTGGCCGGTAATTTGCTTCTATTATTGCTGTTTTTGAAAAAAAGTGGCTTGACAAAGTAAACACACAAATTTACATCGAGGCTCAAAGGATTAATCAAACAGTTTTATTTCCGTTTTCTGCAGCCCAGGAATTTGAAATATGAAAAAAAGGCCATTACAACGACTACTGTGTAAATCACGGAAATACAACTGAGGAGAAATAAGTCCTCAGTATTAAGGATAGGCCGATTGTCTAGTTCTGAACCAGATTTCCGTCTTGTTAAAACTGCACAACTGGCTCAAACCAGGCGTCTGATATGCAGTCCAGTTACTGAAATGAGTTGTCTGGACTGCGGTAAGTATGTTTCTGTAATTTAATTCTGTTTCTACATATAGAGTATGAGAAGTCCCATATATTCTCGAGGAATAGCAGAATAAGCAGAAAACTCGAGCGTTTGTCAACGTTCACTTAGCACTTGCGCGGTGAAGAGAGGCGGGAAGACGCGCCGCGAGTCTACTGTACTCTCCCTGATGAGGTAAATGACTAATCTTCGTCTAGACATCCCAGCATGCATTTGTTTCGCTGTCTGTACTTTATACTTACAAATGACGTCTGCGTAAGTCTCCTTTATCGCGAGGAGAATTAGAAGCGGACTGCTCGTTCAACTCCTCTCCTCTAGTTATCACAATGTTCACCAGCTGTTTACAAACGTTCAGCGTACAGCATTGGTACTTCATAAATGTAAGCGACTTCTACCGGTCAATATCTATAGATGGGTTTCAAACCCGGCTTCAATTGTGACAAACATAGGAACATTGAGAATTACCTCTCTTTACTACGAATCGTCACGTCAGGGATGGCGTAACAATGTTACGGTGCACATGCGCTCTATGCTGAACACACGACGGAGAATTAGAAGGTATCAGGTTGATTATGGTCCGCCTGGCGACAAAAGAGCGTATTCAAAGACCTCTTAAATATGGCAACTGATAGAAAATTTCTCAATCCTAATATATTCAGCGAGCCAGAGATGAAATGATCGTATTATTTAATAAAAATTCAATAATTTTGAATCGGAAAAATATTTTTTCGTCATATTGAAGCACCTCCGGGCTTTTTTTAGACTGAACAGCAAACCTGAGTAGCCGGAAAACGTTCATAATGATTTTCAAGTGTGGCATCACAAATTATTTCATATTTATATACTAATTAAAGGTCCGTGTGGTTGAAACATTAATTATTATCTTGTGGTGGTTGGTACTCGAACTTCTATTATTCTGTTATTATTTCGAATTACATCTTTAATTCTAGGACTGACACCCAGGGATTTTCTCATTTTCATAATGGTTGCATCTGTGTACTTATATATATATATTTTGAATTTTTTTTTTCAGTTACAAAGGGAAGTAATGAATTACAATATAATTGCTTCTGTTTCGACTTTGACAGCCTATCGTGCATGCCATATATTTTTGTTGCCATGAAAAGTAGGCAGCTTAACACAGTATAGTCACATCCGTTTTGGGGAAAAAATGTCGTAGATATTCTCAGTCTAAGGATAGTCTTAAAGACGAAAAAAATGAATTAACTTTATCAGCGTAGTAAAATTACCGGAAAAAAAAACACGGGTGGCTTAATAGCCGAAGTTTGTTGATTCCCTTCTTTTGTGAAAGTAAAGTGAATGAATCGACGTTCAAAAGAAGTTATTTTGCTGTTTTTTTTTTGCTGTCACTCTCGTCTCTTATACGGTATGAGTTAAACAGAAGAACTTTGATTTGTTTACAACTGATTCTAGCTAAATGTGTGCTAGACTGAATGTCTGAAAGGTTGTTCCAGTAAGCCGAACAGTTGGGTACTTTTTGAGACAGTATCATACCGGTTCAAAATACGTAGCCGGCAGCGTGGCTATCTGTCGGTGTTATATTGTTCGTCAATGTAAGGGGTAAAAAAGAGGCGATGGCGTAGTCTTGAGCAAGGAGATTCCCATGACTTCTTTTGTTTTCATTCGGGATCGGAGGCCTTACTGCTCATCAATACACTCAACAAAGACCAATTTAAGTAGGGCTGAAGTCTTAGAAATTTTGCTTGAAAATATC